AGTATACTAATTTTAATCAATGCGGGTTACCACATTACAGTTACGGCATTACGGTTACGGCATTACGGCATTACGGCGTATAATATTTACGGCAATCAGGTACTGTGGTAGAATGCCGTAATGCCGTAATCCAGTAATTCTACCGCCAACTATAGTTATGACATAAACATTCTTATGGAGTCTAACAGGATTCATGTTGCTCACTATATTTTTATAAATTATTTTAAGATTAAAGCATATATGCAATTTTCTTCTAGCACAGTTCTTCGTTGTTATGGAATATTAAAAGAACCTGAAATTGGAAATTGTATTATTGTTTTTCCCTTGGCTTATGGAGGTAATTTAACTACATATTTGAAAAAGGGCTTCAAATTTGAACTGGGTAAACAGATTGGAAGTTCTTCGCCATATATTGTTTGGATTAGTCGAGATCCATAAAAAGGGAATTATTCATCGTGATTTTCACCCAGGAAACCTTCTTTATTATCGAAGAACGATTTATGTATCCGACTTAGGTTTTACTCGTCCAGTAACTGATACTGGAAAGTCTCGTGTGGGTATTATGCCATATATGCCGCCAGAAGTCTTGAATCGCAATTGTTATAGCCAAGCATCAGATGTTTATAGTTTTGGAATGATCATGTGGATACTTACATTGGGAATGTATCCATTTCATAATGAAAAACATGATATCGGTTAATTAAAAAAATATTGCAAGGATTTCGCCCAAAAGTTGTTGAGGGAACATCACCAGTTTATGAAAAGATGTTGGAATATGAACCCTGAAGAACGTCCGACTGCTAATGAGGCATATCAAGAAATATTGGGTTGGCTCAATAAATTTGATAATGATCCTCAATCAGAAATTGTGTGAAACAATTTGAAAAAGAACTATATCCTTTGGACAAAACATATTCTTTTTCAGACAAATCCTCCAAATACAAAAGCAAAATTATAGGTATCAATTAATTACATCCGATATTGGCAACTTTAAAGACTTGACCCTATGTTAACGTTTTTTTACAGAATATGAGGAATCTGGTACTATGGAGCTTAAAAATGGTTGGTTTGACGTTTAATAGACATTCTTTTGTAAAGAATAAATTTGAAATTATCATTTCGGCAAAAACCAATAGTTGCTTTATTTTGCATTCATTGACCTGTTTTAGTTGTAGATTCGAATTTGGGTGAAAATGTTAATATTGAAGTAGAAGGTACAGTAAGACCTCTCTATAGTCACACTTTATATAATCACACCTCTATATAGGCACCTAATTTTGGTAAACGAATTGTTGCAAAAAACCTCTATATAAGCACAACCTCTTTATAAGCACATTTCTAAAAAAAGTTACTATCATCCCGACTATGTGATTATAGAGAGGGTTACTATATATTATTAGCATTTTTTGGAATTATCTTTCTAATCTTTATGACTAATTTTTTAATACGAAATTCAGCTGATAAATGGAATACTATCCAACTAAATGACTATCAACAATGGCTATGTACATAAACTTTAAAAGTTTCGAATCTCTATTAATATTAAGTGCTATATTTCATTTCATTATGTTTCCAGAGCATAACAAGGGACTGTTAATTGTTCCAAGTTCTGCAAAATCACTTTCCTGGACCAAAATGGTTATTACTTTGATGCATCTGCATAAACGCTATAATCTGTCATTCCATGAGCGTGTCTATATTTGTCATATTTACGTTTTTATGTATTATGATGAGCTAAACTCCGGATACATAATGTTATGCATTAACCTACCATATACAAACTAAGAAACTTTTTAATTTAATAGATCGGTTTGAAATTATGGGTGATTACTCCAAAGAAAATGTACATTAAATTGTTACCAAATATAAAGCACCTCAATTAAAACCCGAAAAACTAGAAATGAGTGATGATATTGTGAATACAAATTCTGAAGAACAAATCTTATCAAATGGTCAATGTAAGATTTTACGTAATGACTTAGAACTTTTTTTAATCATAAAATACTTACAATAAATAACTTCATCCCAGCAACTACACTATTATCAAATAGTGATATTAATATAAAAATTACAATTTCTGAAGACCCAATATCATCAAATTGTGATGAATCAAGTAAGTTTTCGCAAAGGTTTAGATATTTTTTATCATAAAGTTTTATAGAATAACGAATGCTCCTTATTTTGTAGCAATTTCTCATCTAAGCATGACATATTAAATTCGAGCCTACATACTAGCTTTATATATTATATTAGCAAATTAAAAATATGGCAATAAGATTAATACAGCCAGCCTGGCTATAATCACACACTTGGGCCAAAAAAAAAGGTGATTATATTAAAGTTGTGCTTGTAGAAAGGGCAAATCAATATATTTTTAATAAGTGAAAACCAAATTTTTTAAATTGTGATTATAGCTAGTGTGATTATAGTGGGGCTGACTGTATTTAGTTTTTATTACTCATTCAAACAAGTAAATTAATTAAGGCCACACAAAATAAATTTCTTATTTATCATAATGTTAATTCAGGCCAAATGACTTGGTGACTTAAACTTTTTTTAGAAATATAAGGTCGGAACTGTTTATTTAATTCGAGTTACACGGGTTTGAAATTAAACTAAATTTATTTATTATGAATATATATACTTCAATCAACTCGATTTAAATTCAATCTAATTCAGTTGTTACTTTCAACCGGCTCTGACCTTTCTTGGGAGAATGTAATTTATATTACTTAAACCAATTGCGAGAATTTTGGATATGTACTAAGAGTAGTTGTTGTTAGTCGAAATTGCCTTAGCTATTGTATACTAAGTATTTTGACTTTTGAAATTTAGCAAATCAAAATTCTAAGTTAATCTCATAATTCTAGGAAATAACCAACTATTGAAAGTCTGAAGGATTTGATTTTAATTAATCATTAGATACATAATTGGTTATTATTTCCAATAAACTAGCAATAAAAAACTATACCACTTTGAAAAATACTAAACGCTGTTATACAATATATTTTAGTCATATATTTGCTTTCATGTATATATATTTATTGAATAAAATTGTAAAGAATAAACAATCTAAAATTTAGAATTTTTTGCTAATTTGAATTATTTCGTGTTTTTTCACTAAAAAAAAATGATAACCACTAAAATCGTATACATATATGTTTCTACTTCGTCTTTCATATGAACTTTTACTACCAAACCAATTATTAAAACTATTATCAGTGACCATATCACAGGAGCTAATACCCACCTAAAAAAATTGTATTTTTCGGTGGCTTGTCTATTATTGTTCATTTCATTTTAATCCGTCACAATCGTTGCATTTTTTATATAGTATAGTAATTTATTTAGTGATTAAAAAAAAGGGACCTGTTTAGCCCACTAACCCTAACTGCATCAAAAAGTAACCCTAAAACCCACTTCACTTTAGCCGACCACAACTGTTTCCAGGCAAATTTGCCTGTAAATTTTATTATCAAATAATTGGTCAGGTTCTTTCGGTCCTGGAAATTATGTCTTTTACTTATTACAATTTGAAGTTACTATAACATTTATCAATAATTTAAAAATTTCAGGCAAATTTGCCCGAAAAAAAGTTTAAGAAATAATATATTATATTTACAAGAGACATCAGCACTATTTTTTTTATAAGTAATGCTAGATTTGCCACAATTAAAAACCATTTAATCGTACTCATAATCTTGTAATCTATAATCACATGTATCATTACACACAATATCTACAAAACTATATTATTTGTATATATTTCACTTCTTAAATATACATTCATCTTTATTCAATTTAGCATAATGATCCTAACCCAATTTTAATTGGGCGACGAAGTCTCCCACATCTGCATTTTATATTTATATTCTAATAACAATTTCTCATTATATATCTATAAATATTACCTATCTCTACTGATTTTTTTTTGCCAAATTAACGTTATAGACAAATTTTTGCCCAATAATGTATACTTAAAAAGTTCGTAATTTCTATTTAAGAAATAAACAACTTTCAGATTTAGCGATAATTAAAAAAATCTTGTTATCACTTATAACGTTTCAGATATAGTTTCATACTACAAATAGTATTTGTACATCTAATAATAACTTAATGTTACAATATACGTACATCTAATTAAAGTTTTTTTTAAATACGAATTAATACCAAAAAAAACTTTTATTATAAAATTTGATACATAATTATCTTTGTGTTATGAATTTATTTCTATAGATTTTTTAAAATCAGCATAAGATTCTTCTTCAAAACCGTACATGAGATAAATTTCACCTCTATTTCTTAATGCCCATGCGTTATAAGGGTCAATTTCTAGAGATCTGGTAAAATCAGCAATAGATTCATCATACTTAGAAATCAAGCGATAAGTTTCACCACGATTTCCTAACGCCCATGCATTATTTGGATCAATTTCTAAAGACTTGTTTAAATCAGCAATAGATTCATTATATCTGCCTATCATGCGATAGGTAGCACCACGAATTCTTAAAGTGAAAGCATTATTAGGGCTAATTTCTAATGATTTTTTTAAATCGGCAAGCGATTCAACATATTTTCTCATCATGCGATAAATTTCACCCCGACTACTCAAAGCATCAGGATTATTTGGTTTAATTTCTAAAGATTTATTTAAATCATCAAGAGATTCATCATTTTTACCCATCATGCGATAAGTAGCACCACGATTTTCTAAAGCCCAAGCATCATTTGGAACAATTTCTAAAGATTTGTTTAAATCAGCAAGAGATTCATCATATTTTTTAAGCATACGAAAAGATTCACCACGAATTACTAAAGTCCAGACGTCATTTGAATCAATTTCTAATGATTTTGTTAAGTCAGCAAGAGATTCCTTATATTTTTTCATTACACGATATACATCACCACGTTCACTTAAAGCACAAGCATAATTTGGTTCGATTTCTATTGATCGGTTAAGATCATCAAGAGATTCTTTATATTTATCCATGGAATAATAAGTGCACCCACGTTGCCTTAAAGTCAACGCATCATTACAATTGAATTTTAATGATTTGTTTAAATCTTTAAGTGATTCATTATGTTTGTCCATCATACGGTAAGTTGCACCTCTAATTCTTAGAGTGAACGCATTGGTTGGATCAATTTCTAATGATTTATTTGAATCTATGAGTGCATCATTATATTTCTCCATAATATAATAAGTTTCAGCACGAATTTTCAAAGTATCAGCATTATTTGGATCAATTTCTAATGATTTATTTAAATCCGCAAGTGCTTCATTACACTTACAGCTTGATACTTGTTCACTATCTAACTTTATTTCTGAAGGATTTTTAGGTATTTTAGGTCGTTTTTCAAATCTACCTAATACACGACAAGTTGCACCTCTATTTTTTAATTCAAATTGGTCATTTGGATTGATTTTTAATGATCTAGTGAAATCTGCAAGTATTCTTTCGTATTTATTAATCATGAAATCTATTCTTCGATTAGACATTATCCATAAATTATTCGACTCGATTTCAAATGATTTGTTTAAATCTATAAATGCATCAACATACTTGCCTATTTTATAAAAAATTTTTGCGCGATTTCTTAATACAAAAGTATTATTAGGATCTATCTCTAATGATTTTGTAAAATCTTGTAATGATTCATTGTAATTTCCCATAATGCAATGAGTTAAACCTCGATTCCTCAATGTTAATGCATTATTAAGATCAATTTCTAATGATTTGGTTAAATCTGAAAGTGACTCTCCATATAAACCTAACATACGATAAGTTTCACCACGATTATTTAAAGTAGTTGCATTGTTTGGTTCAATATTTAATGACTCATTTAAATCTTCAAGTGATTTTTCAAATATATTCATTTCATAATAAGTTGCCCCACGAGAATTTAATGCAAAAGCATTATTTTTCATAATTTCTAGAGATTTATTTAAGTCTGCAAGAGATTCTTCAAACCTTCTTAACATGTGATAAACTAATCCACGATAGCTTAACACAAATGCGTCGTTTTGTTTAATTTCTAATAATTTATCAAAATCTATAATTGATTCTTTGTACATATTCGTTAAAAGATAAATTAATCCTCTACTTTCTAATGCAGCTGCATTATTTGGATCGATCTTTAACAATTCGTTTAACTTGGTAAGTGATTCTTCATATTCACTAATCATATAATAATTCTTTAATGAAAATACACCATGTTCATTTCTTATTATAAAATCTATAAATATGTAATAGAAATTTTTTAGTGTACTACGTTAACTGTTTGCAAAATTCTTTTAAAAAAATTTTTTTTACCCATTTTTATAAAACTTTCTCCGTCAAAGTGCTAAATTGCTACTTATGTATTGATTATATGAGTGACGAAAAGGGAAAACCTGTAAATCATTTCACTCATTGAGTGAGATGATTTACATGTTTTTCCTTTTCGTCACGCATGCTGTACACGTAACACAAAATGCACACGTACGGATGGATCGGTCGGTTTCGGTCAGGTAGTTAGTAAAGTAGTACAGTACGATTGTACAAATAGTACGTACGAAAATTGAGCAAAATTTTGATAGTACGTACGTAGGTATATGGTAAATTTGTACGAATACTGTTTATATTTTTGAAGCTTAGACTGAACCGTGAAATTATCAAAATATAAACTGATATTCACGCGATAAAACCGTAAATTAAGCATTTAAGGTTTATCCATAAGAACTCAACGATAATATTTGATACTTCGAAGTCCATATTTTACAATCTTTGCTTGATGTCGGTTTAGATTATGGTTTAAATTTTTTCAATAAAGAATTCCGTGTTATTAAAATTAAAAATTATAAAGTAAATTTTATATATCTTCGATTTTAAGTTTTATTACAGAGTTATAAAGTTTCAGAACTCGTCGAAGTAAAAATAGAAATGGGAGTATAGAGAATTTTTGATTTATATATAAGACTTGTCATCTTCGAAAATGTCATAATTACGTATCTTCTTTGCCAATGCTTAGAAAAATATTTTTGCAGAACAGAATAATATTTTCTATTATTTTGATTGGCAATGTAAGGTTGGCAACCAGAACCGGATTTTTTATTAATTAAAGAAACTGGACAGTCGCTAATAGCAATTAAATTATTATCAATAAAGAATGATTTAAATTAAAGAATTATTTAATTTAATTGTTCGTTTTGACATTATTATCTCAGTAAATTAGT